GGAATTGGTAGGCAGTATAGATTGTTGAAAGTTAAGTTCATTCCTTTGCATCTTGGTTGTTTCTAGTTGTTGGTGAGAAGGAGAAGGCCAGCGGAACAGTTAACATCCGTACCAGAGATAACAAGGTTCATGGTGAGCGTACAATTGCTGAAACGGTGGAGCGACTGCTGGAACTGAAACGTTCTCGATCCAAACAAGCTGAAGAGGAATTTTAACACCACCTGCTCTACCTGGCATAAAATGATTCTGGTGTTCCTAACTTGGTTAACCACAGGTTGCTTGTACTGTAGTGGATTGGCAGAGATCTTTAGTTAGACATGTCTCTTTCTGTAAAAATCAGTTTCTCACCAACCTTGAAGTAAGATTTCCTGGCCTCTGATCAATGACAGATGAAGCAAGATGACTTTGTGTGACTGCAAGAGAAAATGGAAACGTTAATTGGGGATACTTATAGTACTCTTAACTTTTAAAATAAAATACATTTTCATAAAAAAGGTTTTTCATGAAAGTTGAACAATAAACCTCAGACTTAAGAAACCGCATAGAAGCCCTGTGCTACAGCAGCTTTGGAAGTATCTCCTTTAGCAAGATAAGTGATACCTCGCAGTCTAGTCTGCTGCTCTTACACCAATTAAACACATTGACACTGAACAGTTCCTAGTCACAGGAGCTGGGAAATGAAAAGAAGTCTCCCAGTTCAACATGTTTTGGTGCCTCTGGGAGGTCGCAGCTCTCACTCCATGACAGTCCAGCAGTGGGGCTGTCTGCCACGTAGCACTGAGCTGCTTACCACGGCCAAGCTCTACCCTTCTCCAAAGGCTGCACATGAAATGTGCTCATTCTCAGAGTAAGCTCCTTCTAGCTGTGGGAAAGGGTATGAGTGGAAGAGGTAGCGCCAAAGCAGCTAAGGAAGCCAGGATCCTTAGGTGTTGGTTGGTTGGTTGGTTGGTTTTTTAGACATGCCATTTTTTTTTAACATGGAACAGTTCTCTCCTGTGGAACACTATGTACCAAGCCTTAAACCTAGGACATCACAAAGCAGCTCCTCCTGTTTCTCTCACACTTTTTTTTTCTTCTTCCTCCTCTTCTGGCTGGTGCCAAAATGCCAAATGCCTGTCACTGACAAAAAAAACAAAATATGGATGTAGGGCTTTTTTTTTTTTTTTTTATTAACAGACCTGAACAGCTTCCAGCAGTGGTTGATGAGTGTTCTGAAAAGAAAAATCTAGATGGTAGCAAATAGAGCCAAAGTTAGTTTTATTGTTACACCCTTAGCACACAAATCTGAAACCAGGTTTGAACTATCTTACCATTTGAAAACCTCCAGCTCTCATCATTTCCTTTATTATCTGGGCAGAAGCATTTTATCCAGCTTTTTCTCTTACCATTTTCAGGTGTATACATTATATTAGCCTTTGAACCTCTTGTGAATTCAGTCTCCCCAAACCACAAGCCCAGCTAATTTCAGCAAAGTCTATTTCCAGCCCCTTCACACTAGTAATGTTCTAACTGCTATGAGTAAAAGGGAAAGATTGACTTTCCACTGCTTTACTGCTTTCAAAATTATTTCAGTGATGGTGGAGTGAGTTTAAAATACCTAGGTCTGATTGTCTGTATTTCACATCTGCTTTACTCTGCTGTGAAGCGACTGTCACTTGTGCAAAAGAAAAGGGCATCATCAGATGTCAGCTGTCCCTGTGGCAGGAGACCTTCATCAAATGTAGACGTGGGAGCAAAACCAGAGCAGAGACCAGTCCCCAGGGAAAATGAGCTACTAGCTCCATTTCTCTAGGAACCAAGCTTTGAGCTGCCGTTCTAATACTCTGGTGTATTTGCCGAGTTTCACGGAGAGCTCTGCCTTTTGTTTTGTAGGGGTCCCTGTGCATGCTCGCATTAAGACGTGCGCTGAGAAAACAGCGCTGCAAAAGTGCTGGCCGCTGCTGTGTGCATCAGTACTACTGCGTGTAACTCAGTAGATGGCAGTGTCGGACAGCTTACCTTTGACAGAACCCTCACTTGTGTAGATCATGCTGATAGTTTCCATAGCTCGTCTGTCAAAAAACTATGTAACAAATACGTAGGTATGTAAAAATACATTACTAGGAACAAAACATAACAGGACACTCCAATAAAGCATGGACACACCCCAGGCATGATGTGGACCGATCTGAGGTGTCCAAACCCAAATTGTGATCAGTGCGGGGCTCCACTCACACAGACTTGGTAGGACTAAACTCCTGAAGTACCATGCTCACCATCCCCTACGGCAGGAGGATGCTGTGCAGGCTTGGGGTAATAGCCCAATGGTTGGACCACTCACTTGTCAAGCAAGAGAGAAGCCTTTGTACAGTTCTTCCCAGGGATGGGAAGGCTGAAAGACGCCCCTCCCATTCTTCAGAGCATGCTCTGGCTTACTGCCAGTAGGCAAGAGAAATCCAAAACATTTGCAGCTTCACTTTAAGCCTGCACGTCCGCTGTGAGGTTTTCATGGGAATATGAATTACCTCACATTTAGCACAGACTCCATCATGCCATGGGCATTTTCCTCTGGAGCAGCTGATAAGGTACAGCTGAAACTCTGCTTTACTTCACAGCAATTTGGTTCTCATATCTTAAAGCAGATTCCAATGCAAATTGCTGAAGGAGTGACAGAGAATGACAGTGAAGGATGCTACCTAACCTGATAAATCATTCCAGTATATAAAAATAAAATCTGGCAGGAACTTCTGTACTTGGATAGATCACTGTGACAGCTTTCAGTGAGCCTCCTCAGTTGTGCAAACTCACCTAAAAGAGTTTTCCCCAGCCCAGAGTCATCTGCAGACTGCCATGAGCCAAGATGAGTCCACGACGACTGTTCCCATCACATTTTGGGATCAAATTCCTACAGCAGCTGCTAATAGTACTGCCTCAGACCACTGGGACAACCTGATGCAGTTTCAATATTCAGATTCAGTAATGTAATTTCAACTCCTCTAAAAGCAGTGAAGAATCACCTTTAGGGAGAACCCAGCTCCAAAACAAATTTTAATCCCTGTAGGCACCTTTGCACAGTCAGCCCTGCCCTGACCACACATTTTTCTGCTGCATCTAACCCAGTCCACTCCTGTTGCTCCCCAAAAAAGGCAAACAAAACAAGCCTTCTGGTAAAAACAAACAAACAAAAACAATTAAGGGGCTTCTTGTAAAATCATTTAAGCCTTCGGCTTATGCCCTACATAATTTCATGATTGCTTCAGCTTTCTCCACAGTTTCTTAATCACACAGTAAATTTTGGCCTTCAAATCAGATAATGGTAAACTGATCCTATGAAAATTAAGTATAGCCTCTAGCAATACTTATAAAAACAAGACGATGCATACTGCTTAGTGCTTAAAGAGTATTTCTGAAACTACTCAGCCTATCTACACACTAGCGTTTTCCATCTGCCTGGACAGAAATATTCCTTTACAATTGTCTGGTTGCACTTGATGCCTTCTTAGTCACTGTGATAGAATATTCTCAGATAGAATGTGCTACATCTGGAATTTGTATCAAATTTACTTTTTTTTTTTTTTTTCAGTCTTCAAATAGGAATAGGAGAGTGCATGGAGCAATGCATGGATTAACATCTTCGGAGAAATTACTACAAGGAAACTTATGCTCAGATAATTAAGAGCAGCCAAGGGCATTTTCTTTTGTTCTTGGATGTTAACAGTAAATCATCTGGGCTATGTAATTAGTTTCAGTAAACAACATACCTGTATCCCATTCCAAACGATATTCTTCAACTGGATCAAAGAGCTCTTCTGAAACCAGGAAAAATTTCACAACAACACCAAAAAAAAAAAAAAAAAAAGCATTTGAGCAAACAAGAGGGGTGGCAGACAGGGGCAGAGGTTGAGCAAGGAAGCTTGGAACAAAGACATGCAGTGCTGTCCTTGCCTACATCCAGCTGAAAAGTACAATTAAGCTTCTTGGAGTTTCAAGCGTCCTCTCCTGTGATGGGTTTATCTCACTAGAAGAAAATACGTTCATTCCATGCCAGTTTGGGGCTGACATTTAAAGCACTTTCTGCTATCCATCACAGGAAGCTGCAGGCCTACAAAACAGGCACTCGCTGATTTATTACACTCCTGAAACATCATTCTTCATTTTGGGAATACTCACAACTCACCCCTGTGCACAGAGTGTGTACGGCAACAGAACAAGTTAACTTAATATTCCGCAAGAGCTTAAATGCACAATGACATTAATCTAATCATGCTTAATATGTGATTTCTCAATTGCACACTTCAGGGACAAACTGTAACCTGTCTATAGTACATCAGCAATAGAAGGAAAATCTATCTGTATTTTTGTTTAATGGGATAAAGGCCCTGAAGGATGTGATACCCCTGCGTATCTGCAGGGATGTCAGGCTGCACACTGGAACAGCTGTAAATCAGTTGAGGAATGGGTTTCTTCAATATGAATATAACTATGGAAATAAAGCTTTTCTTGGAGCAGCCACTGAAATGTCAAAACAGTATGAATAACAAAGCATACATTTCCAAGAAGCCATAACCTGCTGAGAGCTAATAATCATGCAATCAATTCCATTCATAAATACCCCACTAGGCTATGGGAAATCAAATCACACATGTTCTAAGTTCTGGCCTCCACATCAAGATAGATGGTGTCAGCAGAGGGATCAGGTGACAAAGCTGACAGGACAAAGGGATCAAGCAGAGGCATTCTTTTAGAGTAGGATTTCTTTTCTTAGGATTTTTAAGACACTCTAAGTCTTTGAGCAGATCACCCCTGGGCAGACTGCATGCACAAATACGGCCAGTTAGAGCTTTACCACCAAGTTTTCCCTTTCTTGCACTGAAAGGTAGATATTCCCAAACACATCAGCATAGGGAGGCTGAGCTGCTATTATCTTTTACTGGAAGAGATTTTTGAAATTGTTCACCGGATGGAAATAAAAATAATTTCAGAATGTGTAATTTTTAGTTTCCAATGACAAGTTGGTTTTATTTTTCAGTATAAGATGTTTTCCACATATTAAGACTTTCAAGATGTTTCTAGAAATGATCATAAAACAAAAAATTTCCATTTTGCTTTATGATGCATAAACTTGCATCACTTTGGATCTGCAGATAGGGAACTCGGAATTAAGGAGGAAAAAGGAGCACATTTTGAAAAGGATTTCCAAGCTGCTTTTTTCTGGGCTCAGATCCCTCAGACAGAGTTTGATAACTCTTCCAGATTTCACGTATGGACTGTCACAGGAACCCAGCGTGTAACTTGGCTGATCTGGAAGAGACAACTCAGTGATCTGGAAAACAGACAAGACAAGCTTTATAAAAGACTCAGCCCCTGCAACTGAATTCAAGAAAGATATGAGTGGCTAGAGTGGGACTCAGGTAGAAACTAGAGCCCAGAGCCAGTCCATAACTGATTCTGCAATCAGCTGCTGCCTGGCCCTGAAGTACCAGAACCACCAAGGCAATGACTTGTTTATCTAAAGCTCCCCACCTGTCATGCACCGAGTGCCTGTCCCAGAAGTGGAATTCCCCAATTTGGTTTCCCTCCTCTGCCTATGGGGGGATTCAAATCCCAACATCTAAAGAGCCTCTTGTCGGACTGGAGTCTCTCCTAGATAGGAAAGGACACAAGAAGGAAGACAGCAAAGAAATGCAGAAAACAGAGCCTGACTGTGCAGCTTATTGGGGATTTCAAACACATTTTAATTTTATGGGAAGGAGCTACTGTCTTCTCACCACCAGTAAACAAAGTTAGGACTTTTCTTTACTTTTATAACAAATCATGAATTCCCAGCAATTAAATTCTGAATTTTCAAGATGTTCCACACAGACTTGGTGGAGCATGAGGTGCAATGACGTGGTGTATGATTCCGTGTTCTCAACAGAAGAATACCTTGCAAAGCAACAATTTGTCTACAGGACAATCTGTATCTTCCAGTTAACAACCTTGTCACAACAAGTATCACAGATTGTTGATAAGGTCATTTCAACACCCCCTCCTCATGCATGGAAGATATAGTATATGGAGATTATGGCAAACTGTCACTTTCTCTAGCAGTGTTTCTAAATGAATGGAAGAGAGTAGCAGCTATAGCTAGTTACCTCAGTCTGCACATCATTAAAGATACACTGAATAATTCATTTTTCCTTCCATGTCAATGAAGAAAGGCAAGTATTGCATTGCTTAGAAGCATGACATGCGCAACCCACTAAAACTTGAGCTAGGTATCAGTATACATTTCATACAAAACACTAGTCTTAGCACAGGAAATGAAAAACCTGCTGAAGGTCGTAACACCAACGCTTGCCATTCTCATCCCACCCTGCTGTAACTGCAGGTGCCACTGCTGCCAAATTGTAACACTGCATTTTAACTCCTGAGTTAAATTCCTGAGCAATAAGCAGGAGGGAAATGTGGTATTCGATTCATGGCTTGAGCTGGGACCATGAGGAACAAAAATGAAAAGGCTACAGGAAAAGAGAGAGAATGTGGACAAATGTAGGAGAAAGCAGGATGCAGAAAAGGAGGCTGCAGTTGTCCCTTCCAGCTTTTACCCAGACTCCCTGGCCAGTGGAGAACTATGCCTCCTCCCAGACTGCCTCACCTACACCACCAAATAAAACACACCAGAAGTGCTGTCTCGTTCCTAGGCCAAAACTCACATTTCCCTCCCCCAGCCAAAAATGCCATGTCCCAGCTGCCCACAGACAGCAGCGTCTTCCAGCTGACACTGGGCCATGCCTGGCTGCTACCTGAGTGGCAGTCTGACTCTGGGCTGTGCCAAAGGACATGCCAACCTCCAGGTTATGGACCAGTGCCCCAGCCAACACGATGAGCGTGTTTTAATTACAGCACATCCAACACTAATCATCCTTGCACAGACAAATAGTTCTGGGTTTGCTATATTAGGGTTGGCTCATAAGCACAGGCATCTGTGTAAGGGCTCAAGGCGGGGGTATTTGCTGTCCCAGTTCTTCTAGCACAACCCCCATCTTCAACAACAAAGGAAATGACAATTCAAAGTTCAGCCACATGTGGCAATCCAAAACAGTGACAGTGAAATCTCTACCCTCCTGCCTGCCAAGGGGATCCTCTCTGCACCTCACCTCTCTCCCCGCTGTGGCTGGCAGCCTGCTCATTCTCAGATTCAAACCCCTGGGAGAATGCCTTCTGCTTATGAATGGTAAATTACATCGGCTTTTAACAGGGTAACATGAGCTTAAATGGATTAACTGTGTCACAGCCAGAGACAAAATAAATGACAACAGCAATAGAGCAATCTAGAGAGAATATCTACAAATCTTAGTTCAACGATCACTAACCTGTGCAAGCTGCGGTTGTATGCCAGTTAAAGGAACAAATGATCAGCTCAAAATTGTAACAGAAATCTGGTCTAGATCTTTTAACTTCCCATCCTCAGCCCTGTCCTTTCATCACAGGGTTGTTCTTCTTAAAAACTGTCCTACTGATGTGACCGTAAATCATATAATATGATTAATATAATAGCATTAATGCAGTGCCGAGGGACCTCAAACAAGATCAAAACCTCATTGTTCAAATCTGCACACAGGCAGCCTCTGCTCTGAGGAGCCGTCAATTTAATTAGAGGGGGCACCAGGAGTGCAGAGCACTGCAATGCTCACCCGGTGTCACCGTGCAACCCACAGGCTGCAGGCTTGCAAACCAGTACTCTGCTCTGCCCACACTGCACTGCCTCTTCTGCTGGCTTTGCCATGCAGCAGCTTTCATCAGACTGAGTTTGTTAGAAGAAAGTGAGACTGAACATATGTGTATACGTGAACATGTGTGTGCAGCATCTGTCTGCACCACTGCACACAGGCATGGCCCAAGGGATTGCCGTTCCTTGCACCGCTGATTTTTACCAGCTGCCAGCACTCACCAGTGAATTTTTGCATCAGAGCAGTCAGTGAACCATGCTACCTACCACAGAAAGGGAAAACACACATGGTCAAAACTTTTTTCTCTTGAGAAGGATGGAGTTTTTCTGCTGTTCAAGTTGCAGCTGTAAAATGCCCTGCTTGGCGTCACTGCAGCAAAGCTTTGTGCTTATGAGACACCAGTTTCCTGTTTGCAGTAGGACCAGCTTCACCTCAAATCTTTAATGCCTCTTTCCCCTAGCCTTGCTGTGTCAGACTGGCCCAGCAGCTGCACAAAAATTATGGATAGTCACAGCAGTACCACTTCATTTTTCGTGGCCCAATTCAGCAATGCACTGCAGAGGGGTGGTGTTACCTCTGCTAACACTGAAAGCAGGATCAGGCCTCTTCAGGATCAAGGGACACTTGCTGAAGAGGTCTCTGCCACCCAGCCCGCCCTGTGTCAGCCCACTGTGCAGCTCTGCATGACCTGCTCCTCCGGATTGCTTTGGCTGTCTCAGGGTCTGCAGGAGAGAGCAATCTTGCAAGGGCTGGGCTGCCCAGTTGACACAGGGAACTCAAGTTGCCCAGAGAAGTGCTGCTTCAAAAGCTGCAAATGGAAAAAAAAAAAAAAAATCAATCATTCCTTCTCTTTGGTCAACCTTGGCTTATGGTATTTCAAGCCCATTATTGATTCTGTACTCAAAACATCACCAGTGCCTTTAAACTGTTATTATCTGTAGAGGGTCCTCAGTTCCTCAGAAGACAATGGTCTTCATAAACTGTCACAGATGACGATGTCTGTAAAAAAAAACAGAGTAAGAAAATCTTACTTGCTGTTTACTTTTGTCCCATAGCTCATCAGCATGGGGCTTCAGATCTGGCACAGTCCCAAGGCAGGCAGTTTTCATCATCTATCATGATCAAGTGTAATTCCAGAGGGAGATGAATGGATGCTGAGGCTTTGCAGTCCATTTTTTGGGGTTACTGCTGCAGGTAATCCTGTGCAGTGGTGTCTGGAAGGTCTCTCTGAGCCCCTGTTGGTTTGAGCAATGCTGAACCTTCTCTCCAGTCATTTATTAGCTACTCTTTTTCTCCTTTCTCTGTTCTGTTCTGCAAAAATAGCTTCAGAAGTTGGGTGAGCAACAAAAATGTTACTTCTAGCATTGGAGTGCACAGGAAGATCTACATTATACACTTGAAAAGGCAAAAGCCTGATAGCTAGCAATTTACTTTTTCCTTACACAGGCTGAGAAATCACTTCAAAAAGTTTTCAGTTATCACAGTGTAGGTGGAGGTTGTCCGTTCTCAGCTGTTTATTATCGTTGGATTTCTGTACTGTTACAAAAACTACATTTACACTTGACAAGAATCATTGCTGCTCAAGAAAAAGAATAAGCTGGTGGGGGAGAGGCATTGTACAGAAGGGCAGCATCACAACCTCAGCAAGGATTACCTCATGTAACAGCAGCACACAAGAATTTCATAAAATCAATGAAGAACTGCCACCCAGTAATTTTCATCCTTAAATAAAACTCAGTGCAAGACAAGCTGATTTTTCTTTCTCCATCTGGGCTGCAAACATTTGGCTCCCAGTTATACTTTTGTAAGTCCAGAGCATGAAGAGTGAGGAAAATTTCCTCAATAAATACAAGACATTATTTGTTTCAGTTACCAACACTGTAATGGGCTGATTTTGCTAATTATGTTTCTAGTCCATACTGGGTTTCGATACCCATTCTGCATTGGGTTGCAAACTTAAGGACTGTCAGAAGAGACTTTTTTGTGAACACTAAAACTAAAACTAAACATCTAAACATCTAAAACTACCCCAGGCAAATCTTTTGTTTTAACCTACCTGAATACCAGCAGGTGGGTACCTGCTGTCTATCTCAAGTTTATCAGCTTTAGGAGGGCTTTTAACACTGTCTTCCATAACTTCTTCATTGACAAGTCGGTGGAGTATGGACTAGGTAGGTGGAGGTAAGGTGAGCTGAACTGAAAAGTGGTTGAAATTCCAGGTTTAACAGGTTAACAGGTTGTGATCAGCAGCATGCAGTCCAGCTGAAAGCCAGTGACTAGTGGTGTACCACGATGTTGAATCTGGGGCCAGACCTGTTTCACATTTTCATTAATAACCTGGACAATGGAATAGAGTGCACCACCAGAAGACTTGTACTGGGAGGACTAGCTGTAACAGCATTTTCTTTCCTCACTGTGGGAATGGTTGAACACCGGAAGAAGTTGCCTAAAGAGCTTGGGGAGTCTCCATCCAATAAAGGAAATACATATTAAAAACAAAACAAAACAAAAACAAAACAACAACAACAAAAAAAACCCACACATAACTCTGGTCAACATGAGCAGGGAGATTGGGTTAGGCAATCTCCAGAGGTGCCTTCTAACCTCATCCATTCTGTGATTCCATGAATTCCCATAAAGTGATCAGGTAGAGATCACACACACAGCTTCAGATGTAATAGAAACATAACAAGTAATCTGAAGATGGCTAGAAGAGTTGAGCTGGAGACTGAAAAGGATGCACACACAGACATCTGTGGGAGTGAAAAGAACCCTGCATTGTTATCAGAGCAGTTTTCAAACTGGGAATTTACAGTCACACAAATCTCATCCAAGAGATGAGGGCTTGGCTGGACACATGAAGCTTCAAAGTTATCGCAAGCTTTGCAAAATATTTTTGTGAATGTGGACAGAATTTCCATAAATAAACACACAAAGCAATTAGGTTTTTGTCCCTGGTTTCAAAAACAGGACAAGGACAAAGTTCGGTAAATGAAAATCCTCATGAATTGCTGCTCAGTTTTATTCAGTACATTAAAAAAAAAAAAAAAAAAAAAGAGAGAGAGAGAGAAGTAAATACTGCTCTTTTCCAAGTAGCAAGACTTGCTATTTGGGTAGAAATCATGTTGAACCTATCATTTTAGGACTCTCTTCAGATCTCATACTGCGTTTTCATATGAATCATGATTTGAAGTTGCATATGTTAATAAATAACATACAGTACCATATAACAGGTAGAATATAAAGGTTATTTAACAATGAACAATGATAACTAATTATACCTCATCAGTTACCATGCAGTATTCCTCAAGCCTTTATAGGGGGAAGTACAGTCACAGAAAGGAAATTAGACAGGACACTGTAGTTAACATTGCCATATCAGAATCACTTTAAATGTTATTTCTCAGTTATTGCTAGGACCACACGTGGGGTCAAACAAATGCAAACGGCACATCTAGTTTTTGACAGCTTGTCAGCTTTCCACCAAGAACCACAACACTGTCAACACGTCACTTTTAAAGGAAAATGTTAGCTATGACAAAATACAATCTTTTCATCAGGAAAATATTCACTTTGTGTAGTAAAGCATCATTTATCCTAAAATTAAAAAATAATAATAATAATTCTGAGCTTCTCACAAGAGCTGAACAAAGTATCTTCAGCTGTGGTGGTTTTACACTGCTGGGCAGCTGAACTCTACAACAACTCCCTCACTCCCCCTCCTTGAAGTAAAAGGGGAAGAAAATAGTGATGGAAATGGCTCAAGGATTGAGATAAGGACAGAGAGATCACTCAACCATTATCGTCATGGGCACAACAGACTCAGTATAGGGAGTTTAATACAGCCTGTTAGTAATAGGCAATAAATTGTAACAGTGAGAAACTAGAAGCAAACTAAAAGCACCTCCCCCACCCCCACCCCACCCTCCACCCTCTTCCACCTCCTCCCCCTGAGTGGGACAGAGGAATGGGCAATGGTGGCTGCAGTCAGTCCCTGATGCTTCATCTCCTCTGGCTTCCTACAGGCAGCAGCTCCTCAAGCACTGCTCCCACACAGCTCCCTCCCATGGGGTCCATCCCCCAGGAGCAAACTGCTCCAGCACGGGTCCCCCACGGGTGGGGGCAGCTCCCCCCAGATCCCCTGCTCCTGCGTGGGCTCCTCTCCAGCAGAGAGGAGCCCAGCTCCTCTGCAGCTCCGGCCCGGGGCCTGGTCCTGCGGGGGCTCTCCATGGGCCGCAGCCTCCTCCAGGCCACATCCACCTGCTCCACCGGGGGCTCCTCCACCCATGGGGGGGCTGCAGCGTGGAGATCTGCTCCATGTGGGACCCATGGGCTGCAGGGGTACAGCCTGCTCCACCAGGGGCCTCTCCACAGACCACAGGGGAACTGCTGCTGCATGCCTGGAGCACCTCCTGCCCTCCTGCTGCACTCACCTGGGGGGCTGCAGGGCTGCTTCTCACTCCTCACTCTCCCAGCTGCTGTTCTGCAGCAGTTTTTTTTTTTTGTGTTGTTGTCAGTTTTCCCTTTCTTCAACCTCTCCCAGAGGCCCAACCAGCGTTGCTCCCTGGTTTGGCTCTGGCCAGCCACAGTTCTCTTTTGGAGCAGCTCTGGTCTGACATGGGGCAGCTGCTGGGCTCTGCTCACAGAGGCCAGCCATACAGCCCCCCCACTACCAAAACCTTGCCATGTAAACCCAATACAGCAAAGTCACTTTTTATCCATTAAAAACGCCTGACCAGTTCCAGTCCTGAACCGTCTAGAGATTCAGAATCCAGTTACTATTTTATAGGCTAGAAGTCATTGACAATTGAAGTAATATCTGATATTTCATATAGAAGGAGGCATTTTCAATCATAAAACGGCTAACCAGAGAGCGAACTCAGATCACCGCAGATAAGCATTCCCAAGCTGCAAATTCAGAAGCAAATTACTTCTCCTTCAAAAACATATACAGTGGTGTCACAGGGGGAAAGTGCTAAGAAAATGAAATTTCTTCTCTTATAAAAATATCATACATTTTTACTTCATTTTATCTGTAACTAGTAACTTGTACTGATTTGAAGTCATCTGTGGATGTTCTGCCTGACTACAGGCCTATGGCTGCACTTTTGGGATCAGGATGATCACTGCTCAGCACCATACAGGCAAGCAGACCCAAAGTGCACCTGGATTTGTAACAAGGTCACTGCCACCTGTCTTCTCTCACAAATTTCCAGCACTTCAAGTTGCCCTCTTCTTTCACCTCCAAACTGGCAGTAGCTGGACCTGCTCATAAAACAACATACCTGCACTTCTAAGCTGTTACTGAATCTAAACTGGTCTCCTGTGCTCAAAAGCAGCTCTGCTTCTGGTTTCATCTACACACAATTACAGACAATACTACTGAATTACTTGTTCACAGGTGCCTGAGGCAGGTGAGGACAACCAGCACCCTTGAAGCCTCCCCCCTCAACCTTATTTGACTCTGCAGGAGTCATGGCCAACTAATGGCCCCAAGGGTAGTCCAGGAAGGCTTTAGTTTAATCTGTTTGTGCTCCACGGTAGCAGACAGGGGTTGGGATTCACTTTGATTTTTCAAACACAAACCTGGAGCACAGCATTTCCCATAGCAGGCTCCCCTGCTGATCAAATCCTCAGGCACATTGAAATATGGAGAAGATGGGAAAACATAGACTTTTCAACTGCTTAATAACAAAGCCTCTATGACTCTCTTATTTTTTTTTTCTTATTTCAGAGGACAGCATGCCAGCTGACCCAAAGATGCCTCCATAGTTATGTTAACAGAAAGCTGAGATCAAAGACATTTCAAAACTCTTTTCAGTGATATTTGGAGTGTGCCTTGAGATTAAAACTTCAGTAAGACAGAGGTTAGCGCTGTGGTTTTAGTAGCTTGTTTCTTATCAAAACAACATGACTATAGCCTCCCTCCAACAGACAAGAGGCTTGGTTGGACTGAACAAAATATATCTGTGAAAAACTTCATTTTTTCCCATCCAAAA